CTAATTGAATATAATATGTATTAATAATATTTCGATTCGACTGTGGAAAAAAATTAAAAAGATGAAAGTTCGGATATTCTCTGATATTGTCTTCAAAAAGAACAACGGTAAAATGGCCATTATATTAAAAGAAAACGAGTGTCTTATCCTTAACGAATCGCCCTGTATGTACATGGGAATTGTTGTTGATTTGTTTCCATCAGCATTTGGTTCAGCACACTGTAACGATAAAAACGTTTTTTTTGTTTTTCGTTTTTACTAGAATGATGTTTTTTTTGTATTATCATTTATGTTATCACTTTACAAACCGATTACCAAGTCCGGATTAACGTGCGTCTGCAAGGCAGGTCTGCCATTTGTCAATAACTATAATTGTAAGGCCTAGTTTTGGAAGTGAGTCAAAATGTGAGTGTCTTGAATGACAAATAAATGAAAATAATTTTTTTTTGTCATCTTAAGTCGAATGGTTTTTATTATTATAATTAATTTAACTGCACATGATTAAAAGAAAGAGGACATACAGATTTATACTTTATTATGTTTAACTTATTTTGTTTATAATTGCATGCAGAATGCTTCTAAAATTATAAAACATACATTATTCTTATTAATATAATATTATTACCTCTAAAAAAGTTGATTTCCTGTTACTTCTTGTCGATTTCGACGGGGTCGCGATATTAGTAAAATATTATTTATATATGATACAAATCATAGGTATTCAAATTTAATGAATAATTTTACTATTTCACATTAGGAAAGGCCAAGCTGAAAACATTTATAATATTGTGTATGGTGTTCGTTTGAATCAAGACCCGGTTATTGTCATAATAATATACAAGTCATAATATCTCAGTAAATCAACACAGACTTAACAAAAAAAAAACAAACATATTTCTATCAAGGCAGAGGTGTAACACAGTTGGATGATTTAAGTTTTTCTCTTAGAGCAACATTGCGTTCGGGGTCGGCCGTGCTACCTACTTATTTATCCAACTTTTAGAACCGATTACATCTGACAAACCGTTAATAGATAATAGTTTCACTAGTCCACGGTTACCATTCCGGTTAGTTGACTATTGTATGTATGTTTGACTTATTTGTGTGTGTGTGCTGCAGCCAGAGTTGCATGCTATGTTCGAGTGGAGTTTAACTAACTGTTATAAAAAAATATGACAATATTAAGGGAAGCAGACAACATGATGTTGCATACTTCTGGAAAAACAGATAGGGGACGACCGGTATTGTGTGCGAAGACGATGTGGGAGATAGTGATCTCAGGCAGATATCTAGAGGACAATGGTGGCCGATGAAGAACACCGTAGGTACCTACATTGTGTACCGATCTCGTCCGTGTTGTGTACGGTGTTGTAATGCACTCGCAATAATTATTATTAATTATCCCGGTCAGGCCACCGAAGCGACCGCGTATAGTAGTAATATATCAATGCCAAATGGCGTTTTTATCGTTTCGGTGCGCCGTGAAGTGCAAGTGGTCGTGTCCCGTGGAAAAAGTAAAATAATATACTGCCAAGGCGAATCGAGGGTGAAAAAATGAATCACTGAACTGTGCACACGAAACGGTTTTTATTTCAGTGCCGGTGGTTTTCGACGGTTGGACGTACACTCAAATATATATAAATAATTAGATAACGATAATTCGGGTCATAATATTATATTATATATGCATGGCGAGCGAGCTCAATAATTGCGAGGGAACGAGACAAAAAAAAAGTGCAATGAACGTGGCCGTGGGACGATGATATACCTACGCTTTGCTGTCAGCCGAACTCGTCTGTAAAGGGTTAGGTGAGTGTGATAAAAAAAAAAAAAAAACTATTATTACCGAACTCATAACAGCTAACGGGTTCGGTCATTTGGACAAACACTGTGGCCATAATTTAAACACAAAACAAGCTGATGTCGTTCAGATAACACTATCCAACTCGGAGGGCTGTGAAAATACAGTTTTTTTTATTATCAAGTCTGTTGGTTTTATTTCAATAAACGAGTCAAACAGAGCGACAGAGTCAATGTACGGTATGCCTAACGATTTTCGACAGATGCATTATCGCTGGAAGAGTTTCCTTGGGAATTCTTTTTTAAGGTTTTCAAAGTATCCAAGTACATTAGTAGCGGATCGTCTTCCGTGCTCGTGTCATTTACAGTTTCCCCAGAGATGTATTTCCATTATTGTTTTTCTTTCCATATTCATCTTTTTCGGCGCACTCGAATTGCTTGAAACAATAATCTTCCTCCGTCTCGATAATATACTTTGTCTCTACTCGTGTAGGTACATTCCATTATCGGATCACTCCCAGGCTATGTCGTATTCACTTTAGACGACGCTTTAACACTTGACATTATCATCTGCACCGTACTCGCCTTTTTTTTCTTTCCATTCTCACACTACAAACTTATACAATGCCACATTCTGATCCATTTAACGATGCCTGAGCCCATGGCCTTTACACAGAACCCATCAATCTGATTGGTATCCATTTATCGCACAAGAACACCTGACGTCTCTTTGCAGATTTCATCTAGCTTTTCTCCAGCTCTTTATTTTTTTTTCACTCCTATACAATGTACAACGAGGCAAAAAAACGCAAAGCCTAACCGCCACAAGTAAGTTCTATATGCATTGTCCGAGGCCGACTCGTGCGGGTTGACATTTTACGTGGTTTTATGTATAAACGGGAAAAACTGCTAAACGACAAAAAAAAATATAAATATACGAAATTAATTATACATTAGTAATTGTATTTTACCGACAACTGAAACATTTTGGTTAAAAAAAAACCCCGGGGGCGACCGACAGACGCATAATCCGGCCGACTACCGTTAATCCGGTATTATAAATGTTCCAGGGCTTAATTTGTCCGTTCGCAAAAACCACCGGCGCCAACTTAATAATAATTTAATCAAACACGACCGTAATGTCGTTGTATTGATAACGGCGATAACCGCAGCAGTCGATAATAGCAATGTTAAAATACACAGTGATCCATCCGATGTAAGACACGCTGAGACAATATAATATAGAATATAGCTCCATAAAATATATATAGTCAAGAAATTTAAAAAAAAATCGAAGCGTTTAAATTGTTCATTTTTTATCACTAGATTAATTATCAAAATAGTCGTTTGCTCTGACTATTTGCAAATCTTTGAATTTAAGATCAATATTTGTTCGGTTTTTCCAACAGTAGTTCAGCGACTTTCAATCGAATAACAATGTCGATAACACTGTAATTGTGTTTAAATAGGTAAATAAGGTATGTTAGGAAAACAATTACGTTCAAAATATTTATATTTTCCCAGAAAATGAGTGTCTTACTGGTATTGGCTATGCGTTTCTCTGGGATAAAACCATAAGCAATATTGTTTTATAATTGTATTACTTTTTTGTCGACCCAAACAACGGTTGGCTGATAAGTTAATTATTAGCGCCAAGGGCGGCCACTTAACCTTAGTCGATACACACATAATATACAATGCATCATACAGAAGCTCATTCGTCTTCTAATGTTGGCGTTTAGCAACTTTTGACTGACGGTCAGCTGTTAATTTTGTTTTCTTTCTTGAAAACTAAACTTGTCCACGAGCCGGTTGATTTGTGATAATTTTTTATCCTAAATATATATATATATATATATATATATATTCGACGCAGAGACTATTAAAATTGTGTCCAATAGAAATAACGACGTACGCCATTTTTTAAAAAATATTTTACAGAATAATGAATCATGCTAATCGTTTACAATAACAATAATAATAATAATGTTTGTAAGCAATCGCAGTGTAATAAGAAAAATAGCAATAAAAAAGTGAACGTAAAAGTATATTATAATAATAATAATTAATCAACGAATTATGTCATCAAATACTTTTGCACTTGTATCGCCTGAGCGGTACAATTGCTAACCGATTTTAGTTGATGAATAATACAAAACAAGCACAATATAATAATATTTTCTCGTCGTGTCTTAAGTATTGTTGTAAGATAAACGTGCCGTTGGAGTTCTACAGCGACGATACCGATATGAATGGTAAGATCTAAAAAATACTAAAGACAATAACAACAACAAATACATGAATCAAGGACAATAATTGGCGATTTTCTTTACCATCGAAAACGTCAGGAAATCTCGACGGAAACGGATTTCGGTGAAATACATATTTTTTTTTAATCATTAAAAACGCTTAGGTAAAGCTGCTACAACTTGTCCGGCTGACCCGCCAAAACGCAATAACGGTAATTATTATACTTACTACCCCCCAAAAAAAAAAACCGTTTACAATATATTATTAGCATGCCGTTTGAGATTTTTATCGGTGCAAACTTGCAACGGAAACCGTTTAAGGGAACTTTTTTGAAAAGTGAAACCGACAAACCGTTATATTATTATTATTGTTATTGTTATTTAGTCACAATGTTTTCAACGTTAGCTGGCATTTAAAATGTTGTTTTTCTTTATTTTTTTTTTTGTTTTGTTCGCCTTTTTCCGTGTCGTTCACCCCCGTGTGTGTCGATGTTACCCGGCACAATATTAATAGTCTGTGTGCACAACACAACAATATATTATAAAACCTGCCTAAATACAGTGCGGAAAAATTTCCATTTTCCTATTTTATACACCTCGCATGCCGTCCCGCATTCCTTGCACAACACTGCATAATATTATTATACCAATAAGATAGCTGCCGCGTCATCGACAGGGTAAACTACGACAATATTTTTAAAAAAAACCGTTTGTTGCGGGAGTCGATATTTTCCATTTAGGTGTACAACACACACGTGCACTTGAATAATAACGTTTTCGGTTTAAATCCGGTGTACGCGCTAAAAGGAGGGTGCATTTGGATTTTTGTCATACTTGTTGTTTTTTTTTTTTTTTGTAATTTTAAAACGATTTTTCTCCGAGTGCTAGGCACCGATCTGGTATACAAAATTATTAATATTTGTAAATCTATAATATTACGGAAACACTTACAAACTCTGCGACAGCAGTTTCGTGACGCCCAGCTTGGACATGGCGTTGTTTTTGAAACCGTCGAAAATCGAGTTGGACGGACTCTTGTTGGTGATATTTTTTTCTGCCATTTCGTCGGCGCAGGTGGTGACCGAACGGATTGAATTCAGAGAGCGAGAGTGGTGGCCGGGAATTTATCAACCGATCGGTTAGGCGTAGTAAACGAGGTAGTGCCGGATCGACGGACCGCGTTAATTCGTTGAATTTGAAAAAAAAAAATGTATTACTCAAAAATGTCGTAAATGTAACGACGCCGTTATTGTTTTGATTTTTCAGTAAGATCTAAGTACACAGACAGACGGGTACTCTCTCTCTTCGGGTACTTCCCGACGTGCGCGACAAGATCCCTCTGGACAAACAGCAGCAGCAGCAGCAGCTGGCGGACGTCGTGAACCAAAACAAAGACTGAGCACGGCAAACCGGCGAGCACACGCTTTTTACACTTACACGGCGGCGGTTTTTCCGCCGTTTTCAAAAGGGGGCGCGGCATGCGGCGCCGTACCGCCGTCCCCCGGCCAATGGAGGGGGACCCGCGACGCTCGCGCTCCCCGCCGGCCTAACTGGGTCAACTGGTCGCCCCGTACCCTGCCGGGGCACCCTCCCCTACCATACCGGGGGGTGAGTACCGAGGGGTACGGGGGGCACACGCGGGGTAGGGTAGTCGAGCCGTACGATTTTTACGTGTCTCCCCCGTACCCTTCAACCCCCCCACCGTATATTATAATATACATATTCGTATCGCATACATGGACACAACACACGAACAACGGCTATAATATTATGGTAAAACATAATATAACCTATACCTAAATAATAACAAATAATAATAGGTACGACACAGTATGACGACGTGTGTCGATACCGACAATATTGATATGGGGGGACATCCGCGTTTGACACTAATTTTTGTCGGTAAATGAATATTAATTCTTTCCCGTACTTTTGCAGGACGTACTTTTTTTACTAGAATTTGTCAGTAGTTTAATATTTTCAAATGATTACACCAATTTATGATTCGATATCGATAGCCATGTTGAAAAATACAATTAAGAGGGCGTCGCACCGGTGATTTTCAGTGGTAAAAACATGTTTAAGCAGACTGAAAATAACTCGCTTAATTTTGATTTTAGAGTAAAAGCACCCATTATAAAATTAAAAGAGAACATTATTCCGGAGGACAAGACGGTGTGTTTTTTTTTAAATTCATTTTTTGAAAAGTTACAGTCATTTAAAAATGTTAAAATAGTCGTTATTTCTAAACTATGGATTGAGCGTTATACTTGGAATGATGAAAAAAACACACCGTTTTGCCCTCCGAAATATTGTTTTCTTTTAATTTTATAATTGGTGCTTTTACTCTAAAACCAAAATTAAGCGAGTTATTTTCAGTCTGCTTAAACATGTAGAGATAAAAAAAAAATTTTTAAATCGCTTTTAAAGATGCTGTGATAGTCTGAAAAATAAATTAACTACCAAAATAGAGTCTAGTTATTGAACTAATAATTACACATCACAGTTTAACCTTTAAATTAAGATTTTGTGAAAAATTGCCTATACTTTACTCCTTAAAAATAGGCGGTGCGGCGCCCTCTTAATGGGAAATTGTTGTGCTACTGTTATAAAAATTAAAAACCTAATTTATATTGATCTTAAATTCAATGCTTCACAAAGTAATAGGTAACGATTAGAATGATAATTTTTTGTTTTAATTTAAACGCTTATGTTTTTTAACATTTTTTATCTACACGAATCGGAATTTGTTAAAAAGAAAGATATGTTCATTAAAAAAAAAAATACATTTTAAAACAATTAGTTGACATAAGTGACATGGGTGCCTTTTGACATATGTTTCAAAGATATCTCATACAGACAATACCTATTATATGACGAAGGGCCTTTTTAACACAAAACGATGAGTTTACATAAGAAGATAAATAAAATATGTATCTTAGGTCCCTTTAACAAATTCGCATTTACATATTTATATGACTCAAATCATATGTTACCTTTTAAAAAAAACCAAGTCCATACTCGTTTTACGCATAAGGGATGTAACTATGTAGGTATCTTTTAAATATTAAGAAATATAGTAAATCGTGTACAATACAAGTATAGGTAAACCGTATGGGTTTTTTTTTTGTACAGTGACATTGACAAAAACGAAAATTATAATAATGACAGCACGGTATTAACAACAACAATTATTTGACGGGTTTTTTTTTATTAAATATTGAAAAGAAATAAAAAAACCATTTCCGCGAAATAGTGTATGTACGCAGTTATATTTTTTTTTCATGAGGTTAAAGGAAATTATATTCGCATTATTGCAATGTTCCGGTTAACGGATATGGCGCATGGAAGGGAGGGTGGTTTTGTATTGAAACAAAACATCAAAGAAATGTACACAAAACCTGAAAACCATTTACTTAATTACTAACAATATGTATTAAAATAGCATAATATAAGTACGGGCGCATCGAGAACGTCGAGTGCCCTTTGCACGGTTCGAGTTTCGCGAAACGGTTACTGTATAAATACACTTAGTATGGCGTTTCATACTAATATATATATATATATAATAATTCATCTTAAGGTGAACATTTTTTTTTATCATCCGAGGTCATAAACTATGATCAGCGTGGACCACCGCAAGTTTATAGCAAACTAAGTGTTGACATACTGATTGTAACTAAACGGTAGGAGAAAAAAATCCTATGATAAAACAAAACAAAAAGCCTCCGGGACGCCGACAGTCTTACTCGGCGCCAAGCTGGGGGTGACTATTTCCCACCCAAAGACAACCGCACTTGCTTGCCCAGAAATGTTAATCTTTTTTTTTTTGGGATTTATTTGTTTTTTGACGGAGTTGGACGTTTGGGTGGCCCCTGGAAAAACAATTTTGGCGCCATGCCTGCAGCCACACCGGCCTTAGAGTCGAGCATAGTAATTAGCATTATTCTATTTGTACATTTCCATTAGCAAGACGCTTATTCGAGTACTCACACATCTCATAGCGCTGTCTTTGTACAACAGCTAGTGTTGTATCAACTTAATTTGCATCGACCCACAACAAACCTTAAACACAGATGTAATAGACATCAAATGCTTCGAAATATTTGAACATATTTTTAAGGACTTTGTTTGTTTGTGCATAACAAATTTTCGACCGATTTCTGTATAAAGTAGTTTTGCTTGAACAAAATAATTTAGTGAATAACATTGTGGTGGGGTTTACATTTTACAATATACATAACGTATAGTGAATATAGAATGAGAGACTTAACAATATGTCGGGTAAATGCGGCCTAATTCAATTTTGGCTAGGCACTCGACAGTTGGATATAACTTTGTCAGACATAATATTATTAGTTATGAGTAGGTAGTACGATTTTAGTAGGCCATTCGGGGGAGAGGACAAAGGGACAAAACGAACCGAAGCTGTGCACTTTGAATAACATGCGATAAATTCGATATTACCAAGGCATACTACATTATACATATATATTCAGCTGTTTAAATTATCATGAACGCCTACCCATCCTGTAAATACCAATAGACTTTATAATTTTTAGTCAGAGAGGGGCAAGTTGAGAAACACCCGATTTGTTTTAATCATTTGCTTCGAGTCACAGGATATCTAACCAATTAATAATAATGTTAAAAAAAAACATAAAAAGAATATTTTATATTTTAATTGCGCTATAATACTGAGTACACATATCCCGTACGTTTGATGTGATAATCTGTCAACTGTCAACCTATAAACATTAAACAAAGCCCTCTAGTGGTTTCTTATCACCAAGTCTATTGTCGGTGGTATGTTATTAGAGGGAAAACAAGTTTTGTTCAGGCCCAGAACTTTAGGGTAGTAACTATGAAATTAATCACCCCAGAGCTAGATTATAGTCGAAGGCCCCTCAAAAATATAAAAATTTTGTTTATAACTATTGAGGCACAGAAAACAAAAGGTACATAAAACTTTTTTCTGATCTCCTAAACATCAAACACATAGTTCATGTATTTCTACAAAAATAAATAAAAAGTTTTTCACAACTTGCTTCCAGATAGCAGCACAGGAAGAACAACCCACTTGTAACACTTTACCGTTGTATAGAATCGAACATTTTTAGTGTGGCTTTGTACATAACTAATATTTGGTAAAAATGTCACGGCATAGAAGCTTTGAGTTCTTTGAGGTGCTTCAGTTATAATTATTCCATATGACGTACATAAGGAAAACTACTTAAAAATAAAAATAAATTTACTTATTATTTGATGTGGCTGATTTTTGTGTCGTTCTCAAGCTGGGAGGCGAAGGCTAAAGCATGTGCAATGCTAAAATATTACCAACTGTGAGTTGCTTATACACTGTGTCGTTTATTACAATGTACTAGTGCGTTTCACACGGCAGAAATTTCAGAGCACAAAATAAAATCTAATACACATTTTCAATTGGAAACCCAAATTTTGGGACTCTGGTTAAAGTGTTCTGTATATGTTGGTAAAAATTCGTTCTATATTAAAATACAAAAAAAAACCTAAGTATACCTAACAAGTAACTGTTTGAACAAGCATACAAAACATCGCATCAAAATATGTTTTTCTCTTATTTAAATAAATAATACTCTTAAACGTGATTCGATACGCTTTCGTGTAACAAAGTGAATATGAAATTATTTAGAAAAGTAATAGCAACGATAAAACCATATAATACTTTTAATAGGTTTTAAATTTTAAAAATTACTTCAAGTCCAGTTAAAAATGGTGTTTTAGGACTGCCGGTATGCCAGATTTAATTGGTCGGTAATGAACTTTTTGGTATGGGCCGAAGAGGCAAGACAATTATCACTATTTTTTTTTAACTTTGGAAACTTAAAATAAACTAACTAGGTCGATTTAAAAGATGTGGTTTTTGTATATGTTTTAGTAGGGTATTTGTGTATACTTAACAAGTCACTGTTTGAACAAGAATACAAAACATCCCATCAAAATATTATGTTTTCTTCTTATTTTAATAAGCAACACGACTTAAAACGTGTTTTCAATAAGTTCCCGTGTATGCAAGTGAATATACAGTTATTTAGAAAAGTAATCATATATTATAAAATAGTTAGCGGCCATCTTTGTTGTTTTATTCGTATAAGAAAAAATATTATTTTTTAATTAATTTTTCCACTCTTTAGCGTTGTTTTCACTTAAACACTCTACTGAATTGTGTTTTTCTTTTATACGCCTGTTGGAAATGGAAATTATACGTTTAGTTTTGTTATTCACTATTATCAGTATTTTAATTTTACAACTATAAATTAAAAATGATCAATAAATTGCATCCAACAAATTGGACCAATAACAATATATAATAGTACGTCTACAAATCAGTAAGTG